AAAGACTCTCTAATCAAAGACGATCGAATCGAGATTGCAACGTCGGCTACGGATGCGACCGCTTTCGAGATGACACGTCGTAGACTACGACGACGCCAAGCGGGCAACCGCTTGTTCGCGGACCGACGTCTTCGACGTCTTCGAACGAGCATGAGAGTTGAGCGCGTCGAGCGTCTCAATTTAAGACGATGAAGTCGACGCTGCCTGGCGGGATGGCAGCAATGAATGACTGCAAGCGTCCAAGGCGCGCGCGCGACGCGGGATCGTGCGCGATGATTGTACCGACCCTCAGACGGACGTGGCACCGGGAATGACCCGGTGCCGCAATGTGCGTTCGAAATGTCGATGTTCAATGTGTCCTGCAATTCACATTAAATAACGCATCTGGCTGCGTTCTTCATCGACACACGGGCCGAGTGATCCACCGCTCAGAGTTGTAAGTTTTGGTGCTCGCGCACCAGCGGACACGTCGGAGCCGCCGTCGGCGTCGCTCGGGATGCGACGAACGAGGCGACCACTGCGAGTCCTAAAGGTTTTTAGAACAGTTTAGACAACAACAAACGTGGGGCGGACGCGCCTCTCCTTCTCGAGAACAGTAGGAGGAGAGAACAAGTCGCCGGCAGCGTGGCGACCGATAATGATGCGTGCATCAAATGCACCTTACGCAAGCTCACAACAAAAAAACACACGCAAACACGCGAGCGCGCGAGCGCGCGCACACACACACTCACACGACTAAACGAGGGAGGACGCTAGCATTCGTAAACGGCCATCGTTGCCCTTAACGGCCGCAACTAGCGAATACCCTAATGCGTCGACTGCAACGCGCGCTCGAGAATGCGCTCGGGGATGCAGCCGACAGCAGCAGCGTGTGGCAGATGATTCGATCGGCTATCGGGACCTTCGACGTTCGACTAGCGCACGCGGAACGCTCGAACGACGAGGCTGCGATCGACTGACTGGTGCATTTCGGGCGCCGATCGCATCGGGACCCCTTAGGTAAAGCACACGCGGAACGCTCGTACCTAGGGATTGCGATCGACGCCCGAATCGTCGTCGTGTTGCAGCTGCTGGGCGCCGATCGGCTCGGGAACCCGTCGGCGAGAGCGCGCGCGGAACGCTCTCGCCTCGGGCTTGCGATCGACACTTACAACTGACTCGTGTGGCAGATTGACGCCGATCGGCTCGGGAACCCACGATATGTGATAGAGCGCACGCGGAACGCTCATCGTCACTTGGGCTTGCGATCGACTGACTGCTGCTGTGTGGCTGATGCGGCGATCGGCTCGGGACCCCGACATGAGCTCGAGCGCACGCGGAACGCTCAAAGCTCGGGGCTGCGATCGACATTTTCTACGCACATCAATTACTGTATGTAACGCGTCTCTTTGAACCTTGCAGTTCGCAATGCCTGCCGGGTTTGCTACCAGGCATCGCTGTGGCTTTTCGTCCACGACACGACGCGCCGCAACGCAAACATTGGTGCCGAGAATGCGACGTCGGCAGTACGCCGGCCGAGGACGACAGGTACCCCACAACATCGAAGCGTTTGACCGAGGGAAGCTAGACGGAGCACTTCCCGTCGCGGAAAACGACCGGCGGCTTGCTACGCCACACACAATCGCTCCGCCGCCGAACGACTAACGGAGAACCCGCCCGCAACCTAGGCATCGCAACGTCGAGTCGGACTTTCGCTCATCACATCCGTCAATTCCATTTTGTTTCGATCTCGTTTCTCATAGAGCCAACCGCTGGCTGCTACGTTCGGTAATGATCCTTCCGCAGGTTCACCTACGGAAACCTTGTTACGACTTTTACTTCCTCTAAATGATCAAGTTTGGTCATCTTCCCAGCACACCGATGCGAGGGTTTCCCCTCTCGCCGGGACCGGTCCGAAGACCTCACTAAATCATTCAATCGGTAGTAGCGACGGGCGGTGTGTACAAAGGGCAGGGACGTGATCAACACGAGCTTATGACTCGCGCTTACTGGGAATTCCTCGTTCAAGGGAAATAATTGCAATTCCCTATCCCTAGCACGAAGGAGGTTCATCGGGTTACCCAGTCCTTCCAGACAAGGCAAAATGCACGCTGATTCCTTCAGTGTAGCGCGCGTGCAGCCCCGGACATCTAAGGGCATCACAGACCTGTTATTGCTCAATCTCGTGCGGCTAGCCGCCGCTTGTCCCTCTAAGAAGTGCCAGCCGACCGACGGAATCGGCTCACTATTTAGTAGGCCAGAGTCTCGTTCGTTATCGGAATTAACCAGACAAATCGCTCCACCAACTAAGAACGGCCATGCACCACCACCCACCGAATCAAGAAAGAGCTCTCAATCTGTCAATCCTTACAGTGTCCGGACCGGGTGAGATTTCCCGTGTTGAGTCAAATTAAGCCGCAGGCTCCACTCCTGGTGGTGCCCTTCCGTCAATTCCTTTAAGTTTCAGCTTTGCAACCATACTTCCCCCGGAACCCAAAGACTTGATTCCTCATCTGCCGCCAAGTCATTGTAGTAACTCCGGCGGATCGCTAGTTGCATCGTTTATGGTCAGAACTAGCGCGTATCTGATCACCTTCGAACCTCTGACTTTCGTTCTTGATTAATGAAAACATTCTCTTCTTCTTCCCGCACATGCTGCTTCGCTGTTGTCGGTGCCTAGCCACTCCGTGAGCCCTCGCTAACGACAGCCACTGCGTCACTGTCCGACGATACCGGACCCTTAGGACTCTATGGCTGCAAGGCCATCTTATCTTACCGGTTAAACGTCTGTCGTTAGTTACGTCCCAACCTTCAATCGCGAATCAAAACCCGTATGATTCTCCATTAACGTTCATTCCCTTTCACAAGCGCGTCGGGCATGAGGTAATATATAGAAAGTGTCTCCACCTCCAATATAGCGTACTATACCAAAACGACAAATACTTAGAAATCTGCTTTCGAACCACGATTGGTTTCCTACCGATTTTCCTACTCGAAACGCAAAAAACAAACAACCGGAAAAGACTGCAAGCATTTTGCAGAAGCTATGGCTCTTCGCCCAGAGCTATCGAGGCGAAAAAAACACGCAACTTGGTAGCACCCGTGCTACCGAGCAACCAAAGTTTCAGTATACTGTTCGAATCGTGTGAAACGGCTCGAACAAGAGAGACGCGAATTGTCAATAGATCTGTCGACAATCGGGTGCTGAAACGGTCGCATAGAAGACGGGGAATTCAGTAACTAGGTCGAATCGGGTGTGAAGCGGTCGGGGGCGAGAGACGGGAATCATTCCCCGTCCAGATAAACTAGGTCGAAATCGGTTCAAAAAACCAAAAAAGACAGAATCAAGAAAATAGATACATCAGAGAATGGTTAAACTCTCCGGAGAAACAAGAAAATAATGCAATGAATAAAATACGAATCGAAAGGAATGGAAACGGTCGAAGAGAACGGTATTGTAAACTAGACTGTCGAAACGCGGTAACGGTCGGCAGAGACGGCAATTTCAGTAGATACTGTTCGCAAACTGGTTGAAACGCGAAGAAAACCCGGAATTCCAGTAGACTGCGTCGAAAATCGACGAAGCGAAGCGCGTCTTGAATACGGAATACAAGAAGCAAGGACGATTATATGGTCAATAGACTCCGTCCGAAATCGGGCTTGAAGACGTCGGGGAGAGACGGGAATTGTCAATAGACTGGTCGAAATCGGGTGTGAAACGATCGGGGAGAGACGGGAATTGTCAATAGACTGGTCGAAATCGGGTGTGAAACGATCGGGGAGAGACGGGAATTGTCTGCCAATGTTCATCTGCCAATCACCTAATAATTCCCCGTGTTGTTATTATGCCGTTTAAACACTCTTCCGCAACACACAGTACCACCGTCCGCACACCACTTTGCACGTTTTGTTAGACTGGTTATACGTTAGGGTTCTTGACTTATTTAGCTGTTTGGTTCGCGTCGCCTTACAGTTCTGTTCGTTGATGGAATACGATCAGAAGTATATAATATAGATATGTATATTATACACTCCTGATACGATGGGTACAACGAGGTTTTAGGGTTATTATACGAAAAGGAAAACGGCCATTTTCGAGACACGGTATCGAACCATGTTAGTTATATAGGAATCGGAAAATACCAGATAAGTTTTTCGTGATTTAATTATAGAAGTCAACCGGGAAAGCTAAAATTGCGATTAATCGGCTACTGGATAATGCCATATTTTTTTTACCCAGGATACTGGGAATAGAACCCCGTTCTACACTCTAATCAATTCGATCAATTAATGTCAGGATCATAATATCAAATCGTCCAGGTTTTTTGGATTTTTAACTAGTTGAGAAACAATCTTATCTGGTATGAATTTGACGATACATTTAGTCTCGTTAGTACTTACTTTTACTGTAAAACAATGGCAACAAAATGTTTACAAAATACACCATAGAAAATTGGTGACGTAGTCAATTTAAAATAAAAATAAAGAATTTGTCGAAAATGTGTTTTTAGTATTTCATGCAAGCTAACGATATTTTGTTTTCCCCGTCTCCAGGCATGCAGCGTATGGACTATTAAAACAAGTGCAGACTACGCGACTGCAAATCAATTTAATATATCGTTTACGTTATCGAGTTACCGATTTTTCCTCGGTGAGTACTGTAGCCCCCTGGCTGCTTGTGGTCACCCCGCCAGCTCGCGAGCTTGCGTTATAATTATGAGGGGTTAATAATAACAAATATTTATTATTATTGGACAAATATTTACATTATTGTCATATTTTGTCATTATTGTCATATTATTGTCAGTATTGTCATATTATTGTCATACTATTGTCATTATTCTCATTATTGACAATATTATCATTATTTTTACGTTTGACAAATATTTGTCATTATTAACCACTGTCATTATCATTGTCGAGCTTGGGAGTTTAAGGCTCTGACATGGGGCGAAAATCTTTCGAAATTGCATTTGTTGCCGTTCACGGCGGTTCTTCTCTCTGTAAAAGCTCTCTGTATCAACTGAGACCGTTGTAAATAATTTAAATCTCTTTACTTAAGGAACTTGGAATGTACTGGGCAGTAGCAGCAATGTTGGCTTCTCTGTTTCTCGCTCCAGGCAACGTTGAGCGGTTTTGACGTAAGGTCGCAGTTGGGCCAGCGATATGCCGTTAGCGATCGTTATATTGTCTTTAATTATGAACCTGCATTGCCATCCACGAGTCATTCACGTTATTTCTTTAATTATGTATCCATATAGCTAGCTATTCACTAGACACTATGCGCTAGATACTTTCTCGCTGTATGTTTTCACTTTACTGTCTACGATCGTTATACTCGTTTAATTATATATCTGTAAAGCTATTCACTAGTTAATGTGCGCTAGATATCTTCTCACTGTAGGTGCTTTTACTTTACTGTCTACGATCGTTAGATTCGTGTATGTATATATATCA